TTTTATTATATATAGCTTAAAGTTAATCCAAAATTAAGAGTAGCTTAAATTGATTAATTATTAAAAGTTGTTTTGTGTTTCTTATAATTTACATAATACATAATAAAGGTGCAAATAATCTTTAATGTTTTCTTTTTCATAGAAGCTGATATGTGTTCGTTATTTTTAAGAATTTAATTTAATTTTTGTTATGTTATTTACGGTTGAGTTTGAATTTTTTCAATTGAACTCCATAATCCATTAAACTCAATAGATAAAAATATAAATTTAAAAAGAATTAATAATAATAATAATGATAATAACTCCACATATCTTATGTTTGTTATACTCGCTAATGCAGCAAAACGACTACAATTTGGACTCTATCTCTCATGTGATAAATATTAAAATATATAATAATGTCTTTAGCAGCCTGGAGACTTCTCGTACATTCTACATTTATCATTTGAGCGAGTTGTCTAAGTGGATTGACTTATGTAATGAAACTGTGACAAAGCTGATGCCTTTTAATCTGCTTTGTTCCTGTCGAGGGAGGAAATTTAAGAAAGCTTTATATTTTTTAAAAGTATACGATCTACATTCACAGGACAGATCACTTAGAGCATGGATCAAGCTTCTTTTATAATAGATTACAAAATGTTGATAAATGGTATGAATGACTTAGTTGTTTTTATTATACCTTAAGCCCTTTGAAAATGGAAAATCAGAGTATAAAGTATTTTTTATTAGACATATTTCAGCATATTATAATATCTGAAATGCTTTACTCTTTAGGCGAACTTTAGATACGCCAACTCAACTAATTATTGAAAGAAAGAGTGGACATTGTGTACTGTTTTTATATATGCAATATAATCCCGATAATTCGAAAAGGCAAGGGGTTTTCATAGTTTTACACAGAAATTCGGATCGTCGAGAATTATTAAGAACGAATTTCTTTCAAAGGGATAGAATTTTATTGACGACTTATCGCGATTTTTGACTCGACTGCATTTGAAAGAAAAAGATCAATAAGAATATTATTTCAAATAAGTGTAAAGTCTATAAATTAAAGAATAAAAGTAAAGCTTTAATCACAATTCAACCAAATCGCCCAAGACAGTTAAATAGGAAGATTTATATTAGAATCGGAATGTGTTGTAAAGGAATTGCACATTGGCAGCCAATTTACGCATCAAATGCAAATGCAAATTGTATTCGGGCTGACAGCTCCCTCAGAGCGTAGAGTCCTTTCGGACATTCAATTCCATTGTCCAGGGCGACTGCAGAGCAGAGCTGAGCCTTTGATGAAGGCGACACGACATTGACAGACGGCAGCCGATTGACTTCTGACAGGCAGTAGCCAGCAGCTATCGCACCACTGCACCACTGCACCACCGCACCACTGAGCCAGTGAGCCACTGACGACGGCCAGGCGATGGGATCTGGCACAACGGCCACTCGGCTCGATCATCTGGGGGCATCGAGGAATCGAGGCATCGAGGCATCGAGACAAGGTCCACGCTGCTATTCTGATGACTTTTTGTCAGGCTGATTGACGTCAACGACTCAACGTGCGGCTGGCATATAAATCTTGAAGCTCGTTTGCTGCCTCATCTTCGCAACGGGCTCAGCTTTCAGGGATTATGCCGACGAAAACGACGACGAGACGACGGCGGCCATAAACAATGTCATTTTAAATTGGCCATCGATGGCACAATAAATTGTGGAATGAATTACTATCCGTGGATTTCATTTAAATTAATAAAAAAGCCTTGCCAAACACGCCGGTAATTGCTGCAGCGAAAGTATAAGCGCAGCTACATTCACTCCAAGCTCGGCCCAGAAAGGGCGTAACTAAATCTAAATTTGAAAGTAGCTCCAAATCTGACTAAGCTCTGACTATAAATACGAACGGTTGAACTCAACTCAAGCACAGTTCGCTTGGGTTCAGAGTTCAAACAACGCCTAGGCCAGATCAACGCTTAAGTCAGCTGCAGCACCATGGCCACTAAGGTAAGATCAACAGGGATCTATAGTCCTTTGACTTACAGCTCCCCTTTGCTGCAGATTTCCATTGCCTTCGCCTTTGCCTTGCTCACCATTGTGCTCGTTCGAGCAGCACCATTCCACGGTGGTCATGATGGTCATGGTGGTCATGGCGGAGCCACCAGTCACGCATCTGTGCACCTGGTCTCCCACGACGACCACCATGACGGAGGCCACCATGGAGGCGGAGGGGATCACCATGGAGGGCACCATGGTGGTCATCATGGCGACCATCATGACTCCCATGCCGAGTACCACTTCAAGTACGGAGTCAAGGACCCCAAGACGGGCGACGTGAAGGAGCAAAGCGAGTCAAGGGATGGCCACAAGGTGACTGGACACTATGAGCTGATCGATGCCGATGGCCACAAGCGTACTGTCCACTACACAGCCGACAAGCACAAGGGCTTCGAGGCGCAAGTGCATCGCGAGAAGGTGCACCACCACGTGCCCGTCCACCACGGACACAGCGGCTACACAGGCGGAAAAGTCGAGTTCGAGGAGCATTCCGTGTCGGGCCACGCAGACTACTCTGGCCATGGCCATGAGCACTACCACTCGCATGGCCACGAGGGCGGACACCATGGCTCCAGCTCTCACGGCTTCTCGCTGAAGCAGGAGCATGGACATGGACACGGACACGGACACGGACATGATGCTGGTAACGATGAAGGATATGAACACTCTTACGGCGGACACGAACACAGCTATCATTAAAATGTAAAGCAACGAAACAAAGCTCAATGGATCCCTGGGATCTCATCATGGTTACCAAATATTATTGTTATATATCCAAATAAATTGCAACATTTTTCCGATGTGAAATATGCGCTTAGTTTTCTCTATTGGCTTACAGATTCAAAACCCATAACAATTGTTTGTCTGCAGAAATTACCGAAATCTATTGGAAATTAATTCACATTCCATATGGTACTTTAATATAAATAGAACAATAAATTGTTTCTGTATCAAGCATAATTTGTTGTTTTAGAAAAAAAAGCCGCTTCAATAGATTCATAAATAGAATTATAAATTTATTATTATTTTTTCTAAACTAAATCAAGAGCATATGAATTTGCTAATATAATAAATTTCAGATAGCTGAAACAGATTCACAAATCAAGAGTATCACGAGTACCGGCATAATTTAGTGTCTGTCTGCCTAGAGAGCAACCCCTATTAGCAGAGGCAAAACCAAAAACAAAAGCCTAGAAAAAAAAAGGAAACATTTTTATCACTTACCACACAAATTCGAATTGCGCGACGCAAAAAATGCGAGTGTAATAAATAAAAATAATAGCAACTGCAATTTTCGCACTATATTTTATGTATAATGTATAAAATGCGTGCCACAAACAAATACACTCATACACACACACACACACACACACACACACACATATACGAAACGTATAAAAATAATAAATTACTTCAATAGCCGGATAACTGCGAGCGAGCAGGAGGCGGTCGGGGTGGCTGTGCGAAATGGAGAAGAGCGTTTATTATGCGCACAATAAACGCGGCGGGCGCAGTGGCGACATAAATTAAATTTATGATGCTTATAAATATTCCACAGTCATTTGTAATACAGCAACAAGGCGGAGGACGAGTCGGCCAGGATAACGCAAGGATGCAGCCTGTCTGCCCAACAAATTGCTGCCAACAGGGGTAGCAATAGCAATACACACGCACGCACACACACACACGCACACACGCACACAGATATACTCTCACTCTCATGCTGCGAAATAAGCGCTGATTTATGAATATGGGACGAGCAGTCCACAAAATGTCCCTGGGCCCATCAAGCACATTATGCGAGAACTTTAAATCAAATCATTTTAGGCACTCACGAAATGAGCAGCTCGACGGTGTTAAAAAGGTAGCTCAACTCGGTCATTAATACTAGAAGCGTTTTCATTTTATTAAAATCACAAATGATTGAGAGTGATTGACTCTCTCCGAAGCGTAATCAAATTATTTTAGAGACCTGAAATGTGAATAGATCATCTACTCTACTCTACTCGATGATTGCCTTTGATTTACTTGAAGCTATGAAGGTAGCTATATCATAATTGTGGATGTATTGAGCCACTATGATTGACCTCAATTGCTTAGCTTCAATGATATTTATAGACAATTTTCTATGACTGATCATATGAATTATAAATCATAAAACGGTTAGAAGTATATAAAAACCAGAGGTCTGTTATGAAACCCCAGTGATTGACAGTGATTGACGAGCTAAGAATATCTCGTTTCATGAATCAAATGAGAAGATTGAGAGAGAAATTAAGAAGTGCATAGAGATGAAAAGGATAAAACCCTGAAATTTAAAGACTGAATTCTTGTGAATTATACATATATCAAAATTTTATCAATCAAAAGAAACTTAAACAAAATCTGACTTATATATACACAAGTTATATCAATAATGTACATACATAAAAAGTTATAAAGAAATGCTTAATTGAAAAAGATTTGATAGAAATTATCTACTTTTGTTAAATTTATATTCTGCTTTTGCTAGAAAACACTCTCAATATATTCAACATTCTAAAGTTTACTAAATATTTTAGTTTTAATAGTAGAAAAATCTTTTTAAAATATTATTCCTATACGCTAAATGATATTTGAGCTTTAGGAGACCCAAATTCAAATTATAAATATCTTTACATCATGCAATAAAATCAAAATTGAGTATAGGGTATCTGCTCGTCGCATTATCGAATTTCACTTAGGCCCTGTTTTGCCCATTAGATTCATAGAATTTGATATTGTTATATGCTAATGCGAATCTCGATTGAGGTAAATAATGTTATTATGCCGTAAATAAAAGCGAACGCACTTAAGACCCAAATTTATGCCTTAAGTAGATTCGTGAACAGGAAATATAAATCTATTAAGCTGAACCGATTGCACATGTCTATATAAGTATATACACATCGAGTATACAGATTCGAAAGTTAATTAATATGCAAAATCAATAAATATTAAATGCAATTAGCACTTGTTCGTATATCGCGTTATTGCGATCGGCTCGAGGTTGACATTAAATTAGCTCATCTGAGAGAGTACATGGCGTTAAATGCAGTTTTATCATAAATTCGATGTTTGACACTTGCGCTTAATTTATGTGCCCAAATGAGATTTAAATTGTTTAATTTGAGCTCCGCAGAACGTAAAGTTGCTCAGATCGTAAATTAGGCTGATTGCGATTTATTTCAGCTGCCGAAAACCGAAAGCAACAAAAACACACACACACATACATGCATACATACACACAGAAAACTTTTGCCAACACTTCAATGAATTTGTTTTTAACTAGACGACCGACTCTCAAAGCCCCAAGATTGCTGGACTAAGCAAACGCTTYGATCATTTGCATTGCAAATTGGGTTCGCTGTTGCCTCGCAAGCGCATAAAAATGAAGTAAATATATATTTTATGTTTCACTTGTCGTCGTTTAATGCCATAAAAATGGGTATGTGTCTTATTAACTGATGAGAATGTCGTTTAAAATACACAAAACCGGTATGGCACCAGCCAAGAGTCAGCCAAGCTAGTCGAAGTGAACCGAGCTTCCAAGACCCCAGTGAGGGCGCCCCCAAATCCAAAGCGCCCCGTTACCTGCTTTGGCGTCATTAATTTTGGAATCGTAAAGCCCACAATATGTCAAATGAGACCACACAGCGTCGTAAAATTCAAAGTTTATGGCACTCGCGTCAGTTTCTGTCGAGGGTTCGGATTTGGTTTCGGTTTTGGTTTTCGCTTTGGTTTCGGCTTTTGGTTCGGTCGGTCTTTGAATTTTTGATCAGAGTGTGGCGTTTTTAATGGCTTCGCTTTAGGTGCTTTGCTGTCTAAATGTGTTGCGTGTCTCGGTTTATAAACGCTTGCCACAAAATTAAGCGTAACTTATTTGTCAGCTCGGCCAAGATTTCGTTTTCGAATTTCGTTTGCGCCGGCAATGGGAAAACTTGAATTTCAATAGCCCAACACTTATCATTCAGAGCGTGCTGACACAACATGTTACTGCCGCCTTTACTAATTAGCCAACTCATTTTGTTGTTTTTAATACCAAAGGCATTCACTAAACAAAACTAAAAGCTCTTCTAGTTTTTTTTACTAAACGATTCAATCAAGTTTCTAAAGGCGACAAATTTTAAAAAGTTTCTCTGAATATTAACTGAACAATAAATTTTTACAATGAATTTTTTATTTTAAATAAAAACATTTTATTTTTGAAAATTGAAATATTTAGCAATATAATTTTTTTATATATTTTATATAACTTTAATTTTAAAAAATTTTTTAAAAATTAATGATTATACATCTTTTTTACCTTGTTACTAATTTTTTTTTAATTTTCATTAGAACAAAAAATATTTTTTTTTTAAATTTTGTTTTCATACTGAATCACTTTTATATTTAATTAATCACTTAAATATATCAAGGATACAGAAACAATTTTTTTTTTTATTTTCAAGAGCACGGAAGCACGGAGCAGTACGGAATAAATTTTCTTAAGTTTTCACTAAAAAAATAGTTTTTACACATTCAAAAGCCTCTCTGTGCATTAAAGATTATTTAATAAATTTTTTTATTATTTTAAATTAAGAACAATATTTTTTTTAAATCCGAATAAATTTGTTCTATTTTTATCGACTGAAAATATAACCAATATATATTTTATGACTAAAGCTAAAAATATAAATATAATTTTTATTAATAACTTTTATTTTAATAGTAGACTTGAATATTTTTAAGCACTACTCGAATATACTATCTAACATACATGTGCTCGGAAACTAATAGATGGTATATCCATAGGACCGTATATACTACAACTTTCTTTAAGTTATTTCAGTGAAGCTAAAATATATCCGACAAATTGGCTTTAGCACTTAATTTAAGTGTCGACGCAGCATAAGACATAAACGACAACGCCAAAATTATATAAAATCGAAATACACTCGATTGTAACTGATGGCCCATGGCAAGCATAATAATCTTAAATGCTTTATAATAACCATAAATGTTTGAAATTCATGTGTCAAATGCCTTTTGGTCGCACAGCGAGTGGACGGACAGGCTCGACTGGGCCACTCGCAGCATGGAGTCGGCCCCCCTGATCCACAGTATCTGGTCACTGGTCTCTGGTCTCCGGACTGTGCCAACTGACCGACTAAATGCATGAAAATTGTTTATGACCGTTTCGTATGTGCATGTGAGTGTGTGTGTCTGTGTGTGTTTGGGTCTGTGGCGTATTTGAATTTAACTGATTTTTAATGTGCATGCAGACCCGCCGAGAGCGAGTGAGAGAGGGAGCGGGGGACAGAGGCTGGGGCCAAATTGCGAGGCTTGTGGGCGGCACGCAGTGTAAGATAAATAATCACATGGGGCATTACTTTGGGGTCGCCGTTTGCATTAGCCAATTTGCGGCAGTTTATGGCTGTATACATTTGGCATGATTGGGGGCTACTGTTTAATAAACTCGTTGATTTATGGCTAATTAAATTAGTTGCCGTATTAATTTATGCTTGTTTACGCGCTCATGCGCAATGGCTGCCTCAATGGGTCATTGCTACAGTCGCGGCTCTGCCAAGTGAGTGGATTTCATGATTAATGATCACAAAATTGGGTTGCTGTTGCCGCTCAGTTAGATTCATGTGTGTGTGTGTGTATGTCTGAGTATGTGTGAGTATGCAATATATGCC